AAGAGCATGGACTCTGGGGCTGGACTGGGACTGCCGGGGTTTGGTTCCCAGCTCTGCCATTCTCTAACTGTGCAATCTCAGGCAGGTTACTTAACCTCTCTGGGCCTTAGTTTCCTCATTGATGAGATGGTCCTCATAGAGTTGTTGGGAGGATAAAATATGTAAAGCCCCTGCAACTGTTCCTGGCATAAGTACTACATGAGTATGTGCTATTGTTCAGATGTTTGCTGAGAAACTTAAGAGTTACCACAGCTGAGGAGCTTGGAAGTTACATCTGGGATCGTAAACTGGCGGGAGCTCTGGACTCACCTGGCTCATAGTCAAGCTTTTCAACTGATTTAGCCTCTCTGAGCCTCCACTGCTTCACCTGTACAAGGAGTGTACTGACACCCAAATTCCGGCGGACTGTTGTGAAGGGCAGATGAGATCTATATAACATGCCAAACACTGAAGGCTGCTCAATGAATGGTTACCATTATTATTGTCACTGTTACTTGCTTTCAGTTGACAGTTGTTAACTGTCACTATTATATAATTAATAACAATAAACAACACGTCAGGTCCCTGGCTGTAAGCCAAACCCTCATTCCTCCTCTGAGAGAAAACTGGTCCCCAGAGACTTGAAGACAAGGACAGAGGGACTGGGCTCCTCCCGTGGAGTCCCCTGCGCTTGGGGCATCCAGACTGCTGCCCTTCGGAGAATCCAGCAGGGCTGTCAGAGGTGGAGGTCAAAATCCACAGGAATTTAACTCAAGACAAATCACACCTAATTTAGAACTTCCAGTTTTTGGTATTGAGGGGGGTGTGATTAGGATTTATTGATTTATTGACTTACAAGGAGGTACTGGGGAGTGAACCCAGGACCTTGATGCATGCTAGGCATGCGCTCTACCAGCGAGCTACGCCCGCCCCTCTGCCCATTTTGTAATCTCATCAGCAGTGTTGTTCATTTCTCTTTGTTCTGGCAGGATAATGAAAGCCCTTGTGAATGCTGGAGTCCCTGTGCCCCAAGTTCTTGACCTCTGTGAAGATTCAAGGTAAGTTAGCAAAAGCATGGAGACAATTGTGATGGTAGTTATAAAACTGTGTGTTTGTCAAAATCCATAAAATGCTACACTTCAATACACCTGATTTAAA